CAAATTTTAAGTCACTATAATTTCTCAAAAAGCCCATGGATTGATTTAAAATTTTGCAGGTAGCTTTTTAATAGTAATAGGAATCTATAATAACAAATTCAACATGCTAGCATTGTTTAAATGTATAGCCTGTACATCCTTAACGGATGGTTTCAGTAAAAAATCGTTCGTTCGGAATGGTTGAAACGTCACGAGGGAAATATTGATTGCGTCCTGGCCTAAGCTTTACACATTGGTCCGAGGTTAAGAACCTCTCGCTCCAGTTCGTGGACTTTCGATCGTTCCACCAGATCCCACAGGTTACACCCTTTCGGTTTATCGCTTTCAATGATTCACTGAATTCCATTGCGAGGCGAATGTTCCAAGCACATATGATAAAATTATTGGTAACTTTTTAAAATAACAAATAAATACCTTCATATTTCACTTCGATCGAATTCATTGTTTTCGTGCCGAAATTTTCATCCGGTAGAAAATGATTCTTATTCTTCTCATTGTACTCTTCCTCGTTCACCGTCTTATCTCTAGAATAAAAAATTTCCCGTTCAAAAATCTTTAAATGTTTCATTATTCGCCTTCCCAACACCTTGCAATTAGAAAATTTTGAAATTAATATTATTCACGGGGTTCGTTGCTTGCTTGTTTTATGTTCAACAATATCGGAGAACTGTTACTTAAGATGCGAACGAATTCGATGTTTCTCAAAATTGTGACAACATACATCGTTTCGTCGCTCTGGTTCAAAGCCAAAGGGATTACAGGGGTGGCGTTGATAGTGGTAACGATCGTCGATATCGAATCCTCTTCTTCTCTTCCGATGTCTACCGGTTGTCTGCATCGAAAGGCGCACGAACAATAACGAAGAACAGTGTTCGCGATCTTGTATTCCCGTCGCCGTGAATCGCTTGATTCCTCGTTGAAATCTCGAGTTCTTTCCTCCGAGTTCGGTTCCCCGCTCCTCAAAACAGTGGCCTTGTCCTCTTCTAGCCCCGCGCAATACTTGAAAATCATTTTCGCCCACCAATGCGGCGGCTCATTGGCCGGGATGGAAAGTTCTTTCTGTATCGACGATTCTTCTCGCATTTATCCGAATTATATTTACTTATTCGAATGCCATTTTTCACTCGCGTATCTATTGATTATATAAATCAATTTGTTGCTCTTTGATATATGAAAATATACAGGGTGTCCCTGCATGTACGAGCTTCCTCTGAAGGTGTGAAGGAGGATGAAATTGTGAGCCAAAAGTTCCTGTTCCCCTTTTTCCTCCAACCGTTACTAACAAAGTTATTAACAAAAAAAGTGGACCACTGGCGGTCATGCACAACTGTCACGTAGTGTCGTGTATTAACACAAGGCCCAGCCGCCGCACTATTTTCCATTTTATGATATTTTGTAATCGATTTTTTACGCTTTTTGTATTGAAAGTAATAAACAAAATGGAAGAGGAACTTTTGATTCAAAATTTCACCTTCTTTCACGTCCTCAGAAAAAAGTCGTGTATTCTATGCACCCTATGTAATATTTAGGGATCAAGGAACAGAAATAGAAGTGTTTAAGTATAGCTTTCATTGATTTGTCTCTGAGAAAATCTAAAGATAGGAAAAAATACTTTTGGAAATCTTAATGCGTGACAATCTTAGCATTGTATTATTACCTTTATCACGATGTTAATTTATTTATGAACCGATAGGTATCCGCAAACTATTATGGATCTATCATAAAAATAGCATTATACGCGAATTATTAATTATTTCAAACTTACTCGTTATAATTTAGATTTTATATTATAATGCCAAAACGTAAAATTGAATTTATGAATTCAATCACACATAATTTGGATTAAGCAGAAAAATGGAAGCTGTCTTATATTTAATTTGATCTAAAGAATGACATATGAGAATAGACTGAGCACCCAAATGGGAGACTTGAGATAAAAAAAATAAATGGGAGAATTTTTGTCTATTCAAAATACATTGGACGCTCGGTTTATACTCTTACGTCTATGGAAATAAAACACAAGAAATTTCGGAGCAATGAACGTCACATTGTCTAAACAATATGCAATTTAAATTTTCCATTTTATTTATGTTCCGAAGAATAATGAACGATCGATTATTATTACCTGTTATGAGACGTACACGATCTCGTGGTATACGCGAATGTAATTTTAAAGTAGAAATATGTCTGTATTTCATTAACAAATAACAGATCTATAATGTTCTTTTTTCTGATGAAAACAATTACGGAATGTACATAAAAAAATAATGAAGACATGCATAATAAGTTGTAAAAACTATTGGAATATTTCTTATATCAAGGGTGATACTGTTCAGGTTTGGAAGATCTCTAAAGTGTTTTAACTTTGATCAACAAAATTCGTATACCTTATACTGTGTGAAATTATTTACATTCATATTACATGAAAATTTATGAGAAAACACTGAAAAGGTCACTTGAATATCCTCACACGCACCGATCGATAATTCTTTACACAGAAAATCGCACTTCACTAATTACAATCGATTTTACTGAAGCGATCATTTCGTCGAATTGGAAATTCTGCACGGATTAATTGATTACTAAAAATTGTATATATTGATTTGGTAAACTTTTAGAATATAAATCGAAGAGAGAAACAAAGCATATGTGTATAATTATGAACGGGGCGACAAATGACGACGCACGCACAACTGTTCCCCATGTAAGTAGACGCCGAGCGTCCCGACGCTGACCGCTACCACCTCCTTTTTCACTCCCCACTTCCTGTTCCAACCCCAGGACACTGTATCGAATGGCTATACACTGACCCTAGCCTCGGACATCGAAGATAGAAACTTATGTATAGTGGAAGTAAAAAGTGAGTGTTCGAATGTTCATGATGATATCATAAATAATGTTCATAAATTGCAATTGATGAATGGAACTCGAGATTTAAAAAAAATATTCACGTTTTTTTAATACCCGACAAGAAGAACTTCATTTATTTCAGTGAAATTACTTTAATTAGTACTAGTTTAAGCACACTTTAATTAATTGTATGCAATCTTCTAAAAATTCATTAAATAAATTGGAAGTACATAATAGGTAACATACATTTTTTAAAGCATTTATGCAATATGTGTTTCATGTATTTATACTAGTGATAAAATCGGACGTGTACATTGCGTGTATTTTCATAATTGTTTAGTCCTATGTCCAAATATTTTTCCAATAAATGAGATATGTTTATAATATATTTTTTGTTCACTCAACGGAAAACTTCCCAAGTTTAAACACTTTGGCGATTACTGTACATAAGAACTTGGAGATATCAAAGGTGAAAAATGACTGAAGTATTGTAAACCAACATTTCTTACTACGTAAGCATTTCTATCGGTCTTACGAACAAAAACAGCTTTGCTGAGAAGTACCACAATGTACGTCAGTTGGTTTTATTATTGGAAAAAATTATATGTAATGCTCAGTACAAAGATATTGATGTTCTGTCTATACGTAGAACTGTAAAACGTGAATAGAGTAGGCATATTGAACATACAGTATTATAAAAGATTTTTTTAAGATGATTCTACAGTTTTTCAAAAGATCTAATCGTAAGAATTAATCAAGACTCTGTGAGAGTGTAAATTGAAATATAAAGAATCTGATAAATTTCAGAGTCATTTATCATGAAAATATTTCCGAACATAATTATTAAAATTGAAGGATTCTACGAGATAGAAAAATTTGTTATTGATAGCAACCTCAGAAAATTACAACACAGAACTGTAATAGGGTAAAGTCTAAACTTTTCAAAATGATATCAAAATAAACAGACATTATCACGTAAACTTTTGAAATATTTAATCTTCTTTTCTACACTTATTTTCAATATTCCATAAAAGTAGTTTCGTAATTTAAAAAAAATTCCACGTCTTTAATCACGATATTCCAATCTCTTCGATCTAAAAATGTAAAATTCCGTGCTCGCAAGTATTTACAGTTTTTCGGTTACACATACCGCTAAATCGAGGCAGAAATTTCTTCTTAACGAGTTGAAATTGTTAGGCGGTTAGCAGTGGTCGGGTTGGCTTGGTTATTTAAGGCTGAATACAATTGCTGTCACGCGACGTTCTTAAATCAAGTAAACAGTTAAACGAGATTCGAGAACATATATTTCGGCGTAATGTTGTTTAGCTTTTTCTTCCATATAATTACAATAATCTCTACTACGTAATCTATCTGACTAAAGAAATTCGTCAAGTTATATTGATTTGTCGAAAGATTCAAAAGAAATCAATAAGCTCTTCTTAATCGGTCAAGTGTAACGATTATTCAAAGGACGAATTCCTGAGTCATCCTCCATGTTACTATTATACCACGAAATTGACGAAATAGGTAGTCTATATAATATAGGTCTATATAATAGTCACGTTTTATGTTCGTACAAACGTTCAGAAAATCACTTTTCGTGGAAAAAATATCTTAAGACTAGTAAAACCCTTTATAAATAAATCGATACACATGTGTATACGTATAATATGACTAGATGTTAGGGCTACACAAGTTTTGCATTCGACACTCTAATAGCAGTGCAGTGAAAAAATGGTGAAAATTGCCCGACACAGCTATCATTACACACGAACAATTTGTAGTGCATGTGTCTATACAAACGCTATTTCTCTGATGGAAAACAGTGGTGGTATAAAATGACTGTGAAAGTCAACAAAATTCCAAATAGAATCTAATATAATAT